CGAGGTTTCATGTTTGGTAATAACTGTAAAAGAGCTGGTCCTTCTACTCCTCCACCCACGTGGCGTCTCGGGTTTTCACCGCCGCGAGCCGGAGCTTCTTCCGCCGTCGTCGAGACGAAGGAGTTTCTGACGAATTCTGAGGTTTCTGTCCGGAAATTGTGCGCCGATTTGTGGGAAACTGAACAATTCCGACAAAGAATTGGGCTGCGAAGAGGTCGGCGACGGGATTCAGATGTGGAATCACCTTCTGGTAGTCCATTTCACGATCATCAGGTGAAAAAATTTGCCATTTTTTTGTTTAATTCGCTTAATTACATTTGGCGGGTTTATGTAGGGTTTTAGTCATAAAGTTATGATCTTTACGATGGGCTTAGGGGATTGGCTAATCCCACCGGAAAAAATCTCATCTTTTGCGCAAATTTCAGCGGAAAAATCTCATTTTTTGCGCAAAGTGTTGGTCTGTGTGATGGGTTTACTAGAGCACTTGATTTATGTGTGTTTAGAAATTGAACGTTTTCGTGGAAGTAAGAATCACTTATATTATGTACTGAGTATTGATTTGCAGCCACCAAGCAGAGGAAGCTTGAGGAGGCAACAAATTGCAGCAACTGATGATCATAGACTAGTCCATGGAAATGGCGATTTGTTGCAACCAATCTCTCCTGCAAGTTGCAGCAGCAGTTCATTGGAGGTGAATAAGAACAAAAGTCTTTTGCTTTTTGTGAAAGGATTTCTTGCAATCTTGGTTTTGAGCTGGATTTGGTGTATGTTGGCTTAATGTGTGTGTCTAGGTTGTGGTTCGTAAACCAGCGTTTAGTCAGACTGCTTCTTCGGTAATTAAGTCTGCGAGCTATGGTTTGGGTTCATCTACAAAGCTTCTCAAGGTGTTAAACCGGATATGGAGTCTCGAAGAACAGAACACTGCTAATATGTCTTTGGTTAAAGCTTTAAAGATGGAGTTGGATGAATGTAGAGCCGAAATCAAGGAAGTGCAGCAACGGGAGAAGCAGAGCGATAGGCGAACCAGGAAGAAAAAAGAAGAAGAAGAGGTAAACGATGTGTTTCGATCGATGAAGAAAGAGTTAGATGAAGAGAGGAGAGTTAGAAAACAGTCAGAGAGTTTGCATCGGAAGCTAACACGAGAGCTTTGTGAAGCAAATCATTGTTTAACAAAAGCTTTGAAAGAACTTGAAATAGAGAGAAAAGAACGCGTTGTTGTGGAAAATCTCTGCGATGAGTTTGCGAAAGCGGTTAAAGATTATGAAGATAAGTTGAGAAGGAATGGGAATAAGTCACCAGTGAGTGATAACGTAGTTGTACAGATTGCAGAAGTGTGGGATGATCAGAGGTTACAAATGAAGCTAGATGAAGATGATAAAGAAGAATTAGTATCGCGCAAGTTAGATTTCGATATTGAAACATTTCTGCGAGCTAAGGAGAAGAGAAGATCACATTCAAGTAAAGGAATTGGCTTGAGAGCAAAACCGGAAGATTCGGCTTCTGTGCATCAAAGGGTTTGCTTGAAGGAACTCGAAGAAGGACTCGAAAAGCGAACAAGAAGAGATAACAAATTGCAGCTTATGAGGAATTCGGAACAAGTTCTTAATCTATCTATGTCGTCTGAAGGAGACAAGATTTATCCAGAGTCTAGTCCAAGGAATATTGATGATCATCGGAGTCTAGAAAAGTCTAGAACTTTCTCGAAGATTCTTCCGAGGAATGTGAATGTGATGGTGAGACAAGAGAGCCGGAGTCTCAAGGATAAGCTAATGGAAGCTCGTGTAGAGAGTCGACGTTTACGTTCTTTGAAACCAGAGTCGAGTCCGAGTCATTCAGTTCAAGCTTGAGACATTTCATAAAAAGCTTAGTCTCATGTTGGAAGTAAAATCTCATGATTGTTGTGCTTAATACTTGTTAAGTTTAGTTTTAAATAATTAAATTAAATATGGAGTTAACTTTTTGTTAATTATTACAGAAAATCAAACCAAATGGAAAGTTGACACACCTTATATTCGGATTTAAAATCTTAATGGTAATATGAAGTCAATGAATACGAAAATCGGTCAATTTTTATTTTCTTTTTGGGTCCGATTGGTGAGCCGTTTGAAATGAGCGGTTGAAAGTTTTTGAGCGGTTAAACAGAGGGTCGTTTGAAACAAAGCGGTTAGAATCAATGGTTAGAGAAAGCGGTTGGATAATAGAGAACAATTCAAATATAAGGTTGATTGGTAGCATTGTAGCAGTTGAATAGTATAATTAGATAAATTTATGTAATAAAATTTTTTTAAATGATTTTAAAATATAATGCATTGAAAAATAATTTAAATTTAATAATATAAACTATAAGTAAATATATATTACAATTATTCACTTTGAAAGCGAACCGCACCACAAATTGAACAGATACCTGAAATATCTGAAACATAAATTAACCTAAAAAAATACTTAGATTTAAAATCTGATATATTCATATATTAGGCATTTTT